CCTGTGTACCAAATTTAGTGATTCAGAGATATTAAAAAAAGATTATTCTTCGGGGCGGAATTCAGGGGGCTCTAATTCCGAAAGAGGGGGCCACCTAAAAAATACGAGTCCCCTAAATTTGTCTTAAGAATTTGTGACCAAGTTTTGTTGCATTAATATCGGGNAAATGATTTTATTATTTAAAAACACAAATTAATTTTATTAATAATTAATAAAGGCAAAAGCATTTGAATTTGCCGATGTAAAATAGGTGCGATAAAATTCTATTTACATATTTCTTTCCTTGCGAAAGTTTTTGTCCGTTTTTATCACACCACCATGCCGGCCGCATTGTGCGAGGTCAGGTTTTACAGTAGACCAGTTTCCAGTGCCGTGCAGAAGTGTATTTTTATATCAATTTCGAACTGACCTTTTTGATTTTTTCTTTACAAAATTGTATTTGTAAGGGTCCCCTGTACATCCAGAATTATTTTTTTGGATAAGTTCTGAATCACCCTGTATAGAGGACTTAGATATGGTGGAGGTACCCAACAAGGTGCAAGGTATCCCCCATATGTTAATCTGCCGTGCTTTAGTAAATCCCAAAATCCCCTCTTGGGCTCCCCTACTATAAATAGAATTACGCAATTTACTGACCTTGGTGTTACATTTGATACTAGATTATTGTTTGACGAGCACATTAGTTTAGTAATCAAATCTGCTTAAAAATTTAGGCTTTATTTTGCGTAATTCTAAGGACTTTCAGAACGTAAAGGTTCTAAATATATTGTATGCAGCATATGTGCGTTTTAAACTTGAATATGTATCGGTTGTTTGGAGTCCCATTTATAATGTTTATAATATTCAATTAGAGTACAGCGGAGATTTTTAAAGACTATTCATTTTATTCGTTATGAATTTTATCCTCCTCGTGGTACACCTCAAGAATTATTGCTTTCTTGTTTTAATTTTAAGTCTCTGTCGTAGGCGAATTATGTTTTCAATTATATTCCTTTTTAAAATACGTCAAGACCGCCGGACGCACCACGGGGTTCTCGGAAGACGACCCCGGCAGAGTGGCGCCAAGGAGCAGGGACTTCTGCCAGCGACTACCAATATACCTACGACCGACTCCACACACAGGGACTCTCCAACGAACACTCACCCCGTCAACACTTCTTTTCCTATACAAGTTTTCTATACATTAGTTTTCAATAAAATTCTTTATTATTACCGTTGAGAGAGCGCTTTATTCCTGCTGTACAGCGAAAGCAACCCTCAATACTTTAAATACAGACCCGTTAGTTTCAAGGATTTTATATCATGTTCCTAGACTTAATTCTAGATTTCACTCTGCTTTACAAGTACCCACACCCCGTACTAATTTACTAATAGCATCTCCCCTATATCAATTGATTTCCAATTATCAAATGTATGAAGATTGACTTGATATATTTTTTCATTCTATAAATAATGTAAAAAAAATGTTTATCTAGCAAATGTCGTCTTTATCTTGTATACGTTAGTTTATTTGTCTGTTTGTTGTTTACACTTAAGTTATTTTGTTTATTTTATGGATTTTAAATTTTGATTGCTTTATTTTGTGCAGTATTAGTTTTGCGTTTCTTTCTTTTTGCATTTCAGACAAAATTCTTCAAAATCAAATCTGATTTCATTTATAACTTGAGATTTATCAGCCTTAAGTTCTCGAATATCATTCTGTAGTTTAAGAATTAATGCATTCAGATCCTTTAAATCCTTGCCCACAGCTCTGCAGTTGATACAGGTCCAATCATAGACCTTATTCGCGTTTAACGTGCGCACTTTGGACAGTAATGTCAACACAAGAAAAAATTGTTAAATCTAAAAGATGTACGAATTTAACTAATTCTATCAAGTTAATTTCTATGGTAGAATGAAAAAACAAATTAGGGTACCAAACAACGCCCGAACGATAATTGAACATGTGTAAACAAATGTTAATGTTAGTACTTTTACCTTTTATACATGGGTCATCACAAAGCGGTTTATCTCGGCAACAGTCGGGTCATGCGCCAGAAATTAAGAGGGCATATGAAACAAATATCAAAGTTACTGTTCTGCCAATGAAAACAAACAAATGCATAGGTAACTCACCAGGGAGTTACAATCCCCATAACTTTAACATTCATGGTATATACCTCGATACGTTTCCATTATATTAATTAACAAATATGTATTTTTCTTTCTTCCACAACTAGCTAGTGTCACCTAAAATAAGTCGAGGCTCCCCTGGACGCCAACCTTATATCCTAACGGCCAGATGTGTGTTATAACTGTTATATTACAATGTCACTTATCTCATCACCACCCAGTACGTCTCAATCGAAGCGCAAGTAAGAGTGAATTATGTAATAACTGTTATTATTCCATTGAAGAATTCTTGGTGTAAATAGTTATTATGGACTCTAGTGTTGTTATAAACAATTTTCTTAACTTTTTTGTTTTGACTTAGTTGATGGTATTGTTTTAGTATTGTTTGAATATTTGTGTCCTTGATATTTGAACTATTACTTAAGTTGTAAGATGACGCCATTATTCTATGACTAGAAATTGGCCTCAATGATTTGAGATCGAGGTGGATTATCCCTCTTTATCCTGCTTTATCCCTCTTTATCCTGCCTCATCTCGTGTAGGCCTGGACAGCCTTCGTAGGTGGGCTCCATCCGCCGCACTATGTGTCAGATAAAAATATGAGCCTGGTTGCAAATGAAAGCTGAATGGATGTAGAATATGGAAAAAATGTGACTGAGACGATTTTTTTTCTATATGACCTTCGAACGACTAGGCAAAGTCTATGCAACCCAAAAATTTCATGGATTTTTCTAATTATATCGGTCCTAATTCTCTTAAAATTTATTCCAATGCACACGATTTTGCACAATTTGGCACGGCAATTCCAAATCTGGCGTCAAAAATTTTCTATCATTTTTCTAACGCCAGCAAAGTCTCTCCAAAGTCGGTATTATTTTCAAACTGCTTTTTGACACTGTTAAGCAAAAAAATTATTCACAAATTAAAGATTAATTATCAACCTGGGTTTCTGTTTCTTTTTTTACAAATAAATGTCAAATAAACACACTGTAGAAGGTAAGCAGTAACTTATAGATAATTTTTTTTTATTAACGACGAAAAAAATGCAAAATTGATAGATACAATCTATACAATTGATGGGTATAACCACTCTGCTTAAAATAAATAAGTGAATCTTTAAGGTAGCTTTCTACCATGAAAAACCATTTTTATTTTAACACTTACGCTAATTTGGGTTGGATTATTCCTTGTACTTTAAAAAAAGATGCTTTTCCCAAATTTTGAGCTATTTGAATACAAGTGTACTCAAGTTATAAGAGATAATGTTATTTTTATTAACAAAATAGAATTTTGGATAAATTATTTTCATTATAACATATTCTACTTGAAACATTTTGTCACTATTTGGCCTAAAAACGGCTATTTTTTACATGAAAACTGTTTACAAATTGTTTTAAAGATCAAAAATCAAAAATCCGAAAAAACAATGTTTTTGTATGTCATTCGTAGAATATATATATTTGGGTAGAGAACTATCTTCAGCAAGAAAAAAAGCAGATTAAAAATAATACCGACTTTGGAGGGACTTTGCTAGCGTTAGAAAAATGATAGAAAATTTTTGACGCCAGATTTGGAATTGCCGTGCCAAATTGTGCAAAATCGTGTGCATTGGAATACATTTTAAGAGAATTAGGACCGATACAATTAGAAAAATCCATAAAATTTTTGGGTTGCATAGACTTTGCCTAGTCATTCGAAGGTCATATAGAAAAAAAATCGTCTCAGTCATATTTTTTCCATATTCTACATCCATTCAGCTTTCATTTGCAACCAGGCTCATATTTTTATCTACTCTCTGAGTCAAGATATTTGATTNTATTCTATGGCTAGAAATTGGCCTCAATGATTTGGGATCGAGGGGGATTATCCCTCTTTATCCTGCCTCATCTCGTGTAGGCCTGGACAGCCTTCGTAGGTGGGCCCCATCCGTCGTCTACCCCGACCGCAAATGCGGCCGGTGTAGGCGCTTTGTGGGACCTCCTTTTGTCCTGGCTGGGCCCCGCCGGCTAGGACCCTTTCTTCTGGCGCTCTTCTTGTTTCTCCGGCTCGTCTGTGTAAAGTGTAAACCCCCGGGGGTGGTGTCATGTTTATGTGTGGTATGGTTGGGTAGGGTAGTGCGGCTATGCTAAGGTGGCCCTTAGGCGAGTAGGAGGGGGGGGGAGGGGGAGGGGGAGCTATAAGATGACGGGCTTATAATATCTATTATATTGTCACACACTAAACTATACAGGATGTCCCACCTAAGCGGGATTCTTCTGTATCTCTGTAACTGTAAAATTTATAAAAAAAATGGTTTTAATAAAAGTTGTCTGGAATTGTGGACCATGTAAAGACAATATTTTTAGCTTTGCATGGTGTTCTATTTCATGTGGGCGCTACATAACTTTGTTATTTTAAACAGAACACTCTGTATATTATTGCGTTTTTGAATTCCTTGGTTAATATTAGGTAGAGTTTATTAAATGTACATGGTGTTTAAAACTTACCGTTTAGAGATAATCAGTTGTTTTTGAAAAAAAAATCACGATTTCAGCTTTCTAAATGTTAAATAAAATCAGGTTCTTTTCTAGGTCCAAAAAAGTAGCTGTATAACAGCGTCAAGAAGGCTTTGCATTTGTATTAGTACAACGTCGATACATAAGATTTTACAAAAGCACTGTACAGCACATACTTATCGCATGAATCCCTCTTAAGTGGAGCACCCTGTATATTTTATGGCCAAATATATTTTTGTTATTATTATTATTATTATTATTATGTTNTGTTGTTGTTGTTGTTGTTGTTGTTGTTGTTGTTGTTGTTGTTGTTGTTGTTGTTGTACGATCAATAATTCAGAACCGCCATCAGAAGCCACATTAAGTAAATATATAAATAATATTATTTTGACATCTTTGCGTTATTCATTTATTTGATATGATACACAATTTGCCAATTACACAAATTTTAAAATAAACATATTTTTTAATAGCATATGTAATATTAGATAGGATAAAATAGGTTGTTCCACAGGTCACTGGCACTTCAAATAGCATTGTCATGGCATATCTAAAACAATTATAATAACAAAAAATTACTTCAGAAAGTTTGGTATACCCACAAATAGGTGCATGATAACTAATTTAATGAAAAAACGTATCAAGTAAAAATTATGAACATTTTTAAAAAATAAAAAATATCTATTGGTATTATCTGATATCCATCACAGTTTCAGAGCAAATTCGATTTTATTTTATTTTACATTAAAGTACATGGTAAACTTGCTGGATGTTTCACCAAGTTGTGAAAAAATTTCAACTGTGGAAAAATGTTATGTTGTAAATTTCCGTTGGTTGGGAAAAAATAAATAGTACATTTTTTAACTTCATCATCGTGTATCTCGAAGAGGCAGCATTTTTAGAAAACGTTCGTATGAAAAACTCTCGCACCCTTTCTGGTCCGACGTTAAATTTGCCTCATTCCATATACAGAAAACAGCATCGCACAAAATTGGTATGATTATACAGGGATGGCCAGAAGTACGGAATAAAATTCATATCTTTTGAATGAGTTAATTTTTTTTAAACGCCGAAACACGTTAACTGATTTTGATTTTTCCCCATCTTTCGGTTATATAATAATTAATTTTTCTTCAACCCCCTAACCCCCAGCTACCCCTACTTTTTTTTTCAAATGGAAACATAAGGCATGAGGGGGCTCGTTGAAAAGCTTATAGAAAACCGAATCCAGCCATACCAAATAAACAAGTTTTATTTTTTCAATAGCAAGGTTTTTAGGGTTGTATAAAACACCTACTTAACAAGTGAAATAAAATTTAATTATCTTCAGTGTTATCCTCCATGAATTTGCACAGAATAAAATAAAGAATTTGAAACTGTACCTATCACTGCTAACGCAAAAAAGATATATTTTTTATGTTGCGTTTTTTTGGCACCACTTACTTGCCAGGCTTTCTGGTTAATTTTTCGCTTTAGTTGTAAATTGGAGTTCGAAACGTTACTATTGTGTCAAAATCAAGTTATTTACTGAATTGCAATGGTATTGTCGGAAAGGCAACGCATCGAAATCTTGATATTGCTTGGATGTGGAGACAAAATAAGAAGTCAGGCTGAAGTGCGCGATTTATTTAATGCGAAATATCCCGAAAACCAAATCTCGCAAGGGACAGTTAGTAAAATATTTCACAAATTTGAGGAACACGGTACAGTACAGACTTTGCCCAAAACTGGACGGGCACGTGCTTTGAATGAAGAAAAGAAATTAGACATTGCATTAGAACTTGTTGAAAATCCTCATACTTCAACTGTTTCATTGGCCCGCAATCACGATGCTTCTCGAACTGCAATTCGAATGTTTCTGAAACAAGAGAAATACCACCCCTATAAGGTATGTCTTGTCCAAGAGCTTTTGGAAGACGATTATGATAGGCGATTACAATTTTGTGAGGAAATGATGAGACGGTGTGACGACAATAATGGTTTTCAACGAGACGTACTTTTTTCGGATGAAGCTACGTTTTATTTAAATGGAGTGGTTAACAGGCACAACTATCGCTTTTGGTCCCAGGAAAATCCACACTGGACATGCGAATCGCATACGCAGCATCCACAAAAAGTTAATGTATGGGCAGGTATCATCAACAACAGAATCTTGGGCCCATTCTTTTTTGAAGAAAATCTTACTGCCGCACGCTACCTGGATTTCCTAACATTTGACCTGATACCTGCTCTAGCTGTGATTTTCCCTCATGAAATTGATCCAGATATACCGAATGAAAGAATTTGGTTCCAACAAGATGGCGCTCCCCCACATTTTGGTATTGATGTTCGAAGATACTTAGATGAAATGTTTCCAAATCGCTGGATTGGTAGACGGGGTACAGTTGAATGGCCGCCAAGATCCCCCGACTTAACACCCCTGGATTATTTTCTTTGGGGATATTTGAAAGAAAGAGTCTACCAGGACAGACCGGATAATATTGAGAATTTAAAGAACAAGATTAGGGCGGAGATGCATAATTTACCAGCTGAAGTCATTCAGAATGCTGTGGACAGCTTTTACTATCGTCTTGGAGAATGCCAAATAGTGAATGGAGGACATTTTCAGCATTTGCGACATTGAGTTTATTTTTGTAAATTATCTAGTTGTTTCAATTTCTAAATGAAAAAAACATGCTATTGAAAAAATAAAACTTGTTGGTATGGCTGGATTCAGTTTTTTATAAGCTTTTCAACGAGCTCCCTCATGCCTTATGTTTCCATTTGAAAAAAAAAGTAGGGGTAGCTGGGGGTTAGGGGGTTGAAGAAAAATTAATTATTATATAACCGAAAGTTGGGAAAAAGTTAACGTGTTTCGGCGTTTTAAAAAAAAATAACTCATTCAAAAGATATGAATTTTATTCCGTACTTCTGGCCATCCCTGTATGTATACTGTCCTTAGTAGAACCGTGTTAGAAAAATATATAATAGTTCTTTTTTTTTCTTTAAATTAAAATTTTTATATCATTCTTGAGTTGAATTAAACAATTGTGGTCATTACTAACACTGTGTTTGAGTAACAATTTTTTGTTTCAGTGTAGGTAAAATAGGTACATACCACAGTAGATAATTAATTAAACATCTTTTACAATATCTATCCAAACACGACAATTTTCTAAAACCCTGATTATACAAGGTGTCTCATTGTTTTAATCCGGCTTTTATAAAAAAATATTTCGAACAAAAGTTATCAGGTGTATACCAATTTCCAGTACCATGGAGAAGTGTATTTTAAAATCATTTTCGAACTGCCCTTTTTGATTTTTTTTTTAAATTTTATTTGTAAGAGTCCCCTGTCCATCCAAATATGTTCTACGAAAAAGATTTTCCCAATCCCAGGTAAGGGCTTATGAAATAAATGTATGAGGGACGATTGTGTTCCCTTCCAATAATTTCTGTCAATTATTACGCAGTACTAGAAATATTAAAATTTAAAAATTAATAACTCACTATCTATGTCGATTATTTGCGACAGTGGTCCTCCTGAAAGCAAAAAAAGAAAGATTGATTAATTCAACGTAAACAGTAAATTTTTATAACTTGGCAAAAATATTGAATATTTAGAAAAGGTAGGATATTAATGAATTATAATCAAAGGAGGGAATTTCAGTGACAGTACTGAACTATAATTCACACTAATCGGAATTACAAATTGGTTTTAATATACAAAACAAAATTAAATAAAACATAGTCATAATAATTTCACACTTCGGTGAGTACCTAAATAAGACGCCGAGATAGGGGGGCATCAGGTTTACGTTGTAGTTCGTGGTTTGTTTTGTCCGTCAGTTCATCTCAGGCATTAATATATTATAAGGATTCTTCTCAGATAATGACAGAGTTAACAGTTTTAGCTTTTTAAGATACTCTTTACACGATGTTCTTTGTGATGCACCAACTATGAGTCTAATAGCTTTTTGTTTGTATTTTAAATATTCTGTTAATATAACTAAAGGAAACCCAAAATATAATACCATACCGCAAACGGTCAACAAATGAGAATGATAGAAGGATATAACTATAGATTAGGGCGGATCTGTTTTGAGGTGGATGTGAGAGGGGGAAACATTTTTTTTCTGGATTACCTTCAGTACAGCTCACATAATAGATCCCTAGATCTGGGCGAGGTCCGGAACATTTTCAAAATTGCAAAAATGTTTAAGAAATTTTTAAAAATACCTATTTTATCTGAGTTTTTTACTTATATATTGGAACCTATGCATTTTGGAAGAAAATCGAAGAGGAAAAATGTTTTAGAATTGAATTTTGCACAACATACTGTAAGTTAAAAATGTTTAAATTTATTGCCGATGTTGCAAAAGGCAAAATAATCAAGATTTTTGGATAATTTTTTCAAAATATTTTAATTGCTGCAAGGGTATTCTAATTTTGGTAAAAAAAAACAAACTATATTTCATTAAAATTGGTTAGACAGTTTTCGCAAAATAATTAAAAAAAAAAATTTTAAAAAATTTTTCGAATTTTCAAAATGTTGCACAGCCTCAAATAAAGCATCTAGACAAGCAAATTTTTGCACATAGAAAATAAAAGTTGTCTTTTTTGTTTTAAACAATTAGATTACATTTATCAATTTGCAATTTAGTTTTTTTCAAAAATTATAATTTTAAAATGTAAAGTTTTTTGTTAATTTTATCTGTATTTAACAAAAAAAATTATTTCCAAATAAAAAAAATTAATTTGTTTAAACAAAAATAATTTAAATAATTGTAATAATTATAACTAAATATATTCATATTCAGAGTATTGAAATATATACGTAAATGAATTGTTTCATTGAAAAAATGCAATAGCATAGGGTAAAATATACAGTATATTGAATGCATAAATAATGAACTGTGTTTATAACAAAATATGTGCAAATTAGACAGTTGGCATTATGATATTCGAATTCCTTGACTCGCGAGACATCGGATTAAAAAAAAAGATCGAAGTTGGTCCATTAGAAGCCGAGATAATACAATTTTTTTCGGACCTTCGCATTTTGAAGCTCCGAATTCAGTATCGGAGCGAAAGCCCTCTCCGACACTCTTTGTTTTTGAGTCACTTTTCGCGCGTGCGAGCGACAGCTTTTCCACTGATTTATCTATGTTGTCGATAACTTATGGATATGAAAGTTTTTTCTAACATAGAACTCGGAAAAACGAAGCCACAAGATCAAATATTATTACTAGATTGTTTATAAGTTAACGGTAAATGTTATGAAGTTGATTTTCCGCGACGGGCTGTATTTTGTGAATGGTTTTTAAACAACTACGGTGAACTTCATAATATCACCTTTTTTTCTGATGAAGCCTGGTTTCATTTAAGTGGTTACGTAAACTCACAGAATATGAGAATGTGGTCTTCTGAAAAACCAGATAACTTTTTTGTCGAGGGCCCTCTACACGCTCAAAAAATTGGAGTTTGGTGTGCTCTCAATCGAAGGAGGATTTATGGACCTATTTTTTTTAATGGTACTCTTACTGCGCAAAGGTATAGAGAAGAAATTATCGCTCCTTTTGTTAACCAGCTGGAAGAAAACGAAATTACAAACTTTTACTTTCAACAAGATGGCGCAAGGGCACATACGGCAGGCGAGACGATGAATATGTTGAGGGAAGTTTTCCAAAATCGACTAATAAGTCTCAATGCTGAACATGAATTTCCACCGAGGTCATGTGATATTACGCCGTGTGATTTCTTTTTGTGGCCTTACCTTAAAAACACTATTTTTGAACTGCCTATTCCTGATTTAAACCATCTGCAGGCTCGACTTATAGACAAGATTCGTGAAATTAACAATACCCCGAGCATCTTAGAAAATGTCTTTAATTCTTTGAGGAACAGGTGTGAAAAGTGCTTGGAACAAGGAGGGGGACACTTTCAGCAGCTGCTTTAATTTATTGTTATAACAAGGAGGGGGACACTTTCCGCAGCTCCTTTAATTGTTTGTTATTGTTATCACGATTATTCTTTAAAATAAAGTTATATAGTCATTAACGTTATTGAAACTGACAGCTGCTATACAGCTCGTTGAGAAATGAGGTTAAGTTGGTCGCTATAAGCTACTCCCTACGTCCAATGTGTCAGAGCCAACTTCGACAACGTTTTTATTTGAACGCTCGTTACAACGACATAAAACTTTGTAGAGGCTGTTTGTACCCTGGTTGTGGTTCCTATATATTCAGGAAGGATATACATAAAAAATATATGAACGCGAGGCTGTTTAATGTCGCACTGTCCGGCAGCAGGGTATGAAAATTATGAAAACAAGAGAGGTTAAAAAATTTTTGCGTTCCCGACGGAATTGTGTTTCTTTCGAATAATTTCTGTCAATTATGCAGTTCTAGTAATACTAAAGTTAAAAAATTAATAACTCACCTGTTGTATCGATTATTTGTGTCTGGTTTCCTCCTGAAAACAAAAAAAAAGAAAAACTGATTAATTCAATGTAGACAATAAATTTTTATAAGTAGACAAAAATATTGCATATTAACCTGCAAACGCTAAACCCCAGGCAGGTTAACCGGAGTGCCTCAACAGAAGGTATAGCAGGTATAGTTAACCTGTCTGGGGTTTAGCGTTTGCAGGTTATTGTTCACTTGGGTTAACATGTCTGGGGGTTAACCTGTCTGGGATGTAGCACTCTCAGGTTATTGTGCACTTACATTAACCTGTTGTGGGTGTAGTGTTTGCAGGTTACGTGCTTCTGTATTCAATGGTTCCGTGTTACAGTTATAGAGATTAATACCGATAGTACGCGGGAGCCAATGGCTCCATCTGTCGTGCAGACTCCCAACTGTGCCATTCAAATGGCCACAGTAGAAAGCGACCTGCTAACTGCAGGTACTTTGTTGCACGACTGCCACCCACAGAGGACGTAACACAATGTTTGACTTGTCAGTGCTGCGAGAAACAACTACTCCGAGAGCTATTTGCCCCTACCGGCATTGAATTATACTCGCAACACCTAGTTCAACAGCTAGGATCGTTTGTCAGTTTACCCACCAGGCACAGACTCATCAGTGTCTCATAGGTGCGACAACAGACAAACGACCCAGCTGTTCCTCGTCGTGTCATCACGAAGAGGAAATACATTGTACGCGGGAGCCAATGGCTCCATCTGGACTAATAAGTCCGAAACCGGTTCAAAAAGATTTTTCAAATCTGAAAAAACCATTTTGAAGGGTAAGAGTGGTAGTTTTAGAGGGCGCGATTCGTTTTTAGAAAAAAAATGTTTTCGCTGTGTGATATAGGCTCAAATATAAAAAAAAACGTGTTTTTGTACTTTTAGGTTGGGATATCTCGGAAACGTGACGTATAGGAGCAGTTCTGACGCCGGATTTGGATTCTGCATACCAAAAGCACAGCATTTGCTGCGAAAATTGTTGCCCTGTGTAATCTTAACCTCTTTTTGACTTTTTGTTGAGAGAGGACCCGTTAACTTTGTAACAACATGTGCTTGATCCATTGTTTACACGAGTGAAATATGCCAGCTGACTTTACACCTATAAATTGTTTGTTTCTGCAGCAGTACAAACTGTTCTCAAACTATCAGTTCAAACTGTTCAGATATACTCGACCACTTAAGTTGTCACGTACTTTCGTGAGACTAAGGTCACGAATCAATTGGTTAAGTATATCTGTTAGTTTCAAATCTGTCCTCAACTGCTGCAGAAACAGACCTAATATGAGAATACCAGTAGATGGTAAACGGGTAAAAAAGAAAATGCTAAATGAATAAATATGTAAATAAAATAAATTAAACCATGAGTGATAGAAGGAAATGAAAAGGGGATATTATGTGAAGCCTATTTTAGTTTAAATTTATAGTAAAACGTGCGAGGTTGTCACATTGTCCAGCGACGGGGTATGAAAATTATGAAAAAAAAGTTACAAAAGTTCTCGACGGAATTTAAGAAAGTAAACTTATATGTTTCTAGGTGAATTGTAGCCTCCCTATAAATGTGATCTCTATTCAAAGTTATACCTTGTATAAAAAAATTGCATTTTCGTTTATTCTTTATTTTTTTGAGAGGTGATAAATTTTGTTTGGTTCGTGGATAGTAAAATTAAATGGTAACATAATTGATTGATATTTTAAAGGGGTGATAGGTCCATTCAGAGCAACTAGGACATCTTCGAGGACACCCTGTTATTCCTATCAATTCAATTACTAGAATAAAAGTGTTCCTTCCCCATACAGTAATATGAAAACGCTTGACCGAAGGTTCCTTGGATCAAAACAAGGCTATTTAGCCTAACTTACCTATATACAAAAGTTCACGCCTACTGAGATATAGCCTTCTAAATATAGAACAGATAACCTAGTTTTTTTCAAATAATTTGAAAACTGTTTTTCTTAGAAACTTCAAATTTGGTANGATAAATTTTATGTTTGGTTCGTGGATAGTAAAACTAAATGGTAACATAATTGATTGATATTTTAAAGGGGTGATATGTCCATTCAGAGCAACTAGGACATCTTCGAGGACACCCTGTTATTCCTATCAATTCAAATTACTAGAATATAAGTGTTCCTCCCCCACACAGTAATATGAAAACGCTTGAACGCAGGTTCCTTGGATAAAAACAAGGCTATTTAGCCTAACTTACCTATACATAAAAGTTCACGCCTACTGAGATTATAGCCTTCTAAATATAGAACAGATAACCTAGATTTTTTCAAATAATTTGAAAACTGTTCTTAGAAACTTCAAATTTGGTACACATATTTTTTTTTTTTTGTTAGGGCAATGTAAATATAGAATTTGGTGAGAATACATATACAGGATGTTCTATTTCTAGTGCCTGTGCGCCACTGGCTATCCCATAACTTTTTTGTGTGTACGCCAATGACGACAGAATTTATATTTTTAAAAATAAGCACTATTTTAGACGATTGTTTGCCTCTTACAAAATGTTGATATCGTTTATGGATTTCGAGTAAAATTAGCATTTTTTACACATTAAATAATATAAAATCAGTTTAAGATAAATAGAATGTTCTAGTACGAGGTGCCATGTAACAGAGAAACAAATTCATAACAATAATTAAAAGGTTCTGTGTCAAGCTAGCTGTGATTTAATTTTAGCTTACTTTGTTTTTTATTGCAATTTATACTTTTGCTGAACAAACTGATATGTTAGTAGTTTTGGGTTATTGTGAAAGAAATTGTTGTGCTATTGTTCGAACATATGCTGAAAGATTTCCTAATCGAAGAACTCCAAATTACAAAACATTTGCTAATGCGGAGATACGCCTTCGGGAACCAGGACGTTTTTTACCTGTAACATTAAATCGTGGATAATGTACGGCCGGAATTATTCAGCTGGAGGAACAAATTTTGGAAAGGGTCGAAGAAATTCCTCAAGTAAATAAAAGGCGTTTAGCGGCAGAGGTTGGCTTTCAAAAAGTTCCTTTAATAGAGTATTAAAAGACCAGTTATTACAGGTTACAGGTATTACAGGGTACAGGTAGGTATTACAGGTTATTAAAGGTCTAACAGGTGGATAGGTAGAGGAAATAATGCCCCTTTAAAATGGCCACCTCGATCCCCGGACCTAAACCCATGTAATTATTTCATTTGGGGAGCGTTGAGGACCACAGTTTAAAATAACTTTTCAGTAAATACAGAAAACGAATATGGGAAAGAATACAACATGAAATTAATGTTATGAGAGGTAATGCACAATTATTGGATAATTTCTAATTTTCGAAGAACTAATGTTTGCGTTTAAGAACAAGAAAGTAACTTTGAGCATTTACTGTAATATTATTTTAATGTGATTACAAATATCAGTTTATTTAAAATGTTAATGTTGACTTTCTTACATTATTAGTTGATATTGTTTATTTAAAATATTAGTGTTGATTTTTATTTTATTGATTGATAATACTAATACCAAAAATGTGTAGTTATTTTTTTTAATGTGACGTTTTTTCATTATTATTCCCTGCTTTGAGGCTGCAGTTATAAATTATTTTTTATAAATAAACATAAAATTTTTGCCTATATTTAATGCATAAAAAATGCGAATTTTACTCGAAATCCATAAACGATATCGAAATTTTGTAAGAGCAAAAAATCTTTTAAAATAGTGCTTATATTTCAAAATATAAATTCTGTCGTCATTGGCATACACACAAAAAAGTTACGGGATATCCAGTGACGCACAGGCACTAGAAAGAGAACATCCTGTATATGTATTCTCTCCAAATTCTATATTTACCTTGCCCTTATATAAAAAAATAAGTGTACCAAATTTGAAGTTTCTAAGAAAAATAGTTTTCAAATTATTTGAAAAAAAAAGAGCTCAACAACTCTATATTTAGAAGGCTATATCTCAGTAGGCGTGCACTTTTGTGTATAGGTAAGTTAGGCTAAATAGTCTTATTTTCATCTAAAGAACCTGTGGTCAAGCGTTGTCCATCCTTTTCAAGGACACCCTGTATAACAGTACAACAGTAATAGGAATACTAGTTTAAAAATTAATAATAACTCACTTATTGTGTCGAATGTTTGTGATAGTACTCCACCTGAAAACAAAATAGAAAGATTGATTACTTCAATGTAAACAGTAAATTTTTAAAAGTAGTAAAAAATAGTGCGTATTTAGAAGAGTTAGGCCCTTTAACGAATTGTAAATGAAAAGTAAAAAAAAATATATTTTAAAAACAAGCTTTTATTAAAATGTTCTAAATCTTAAGGGGTAAGTTAAGGAACAACGACAAGCTTTAAAATCGCATAAGAATGTGATCATACTGATCTTGGTTTATTTTTTCATTTTAGTGCATTTTAATAACAGCTTGTTTTTAAAATATTTTTTTACTGTTCATTTATTTATATCTTTTTAGTAAAAATAAAATTTGTCCGCCATATCGAATTTAGTGTGACGTCATTTTATTTTCGTATTCTTCTTAGCAAACCCTTATTTCATTTGATACCCATATCATGGGGGTGTATAAAAATAACTGGTTCGCCATCTTTGGGAGTCCACCATATTGTATTTAGAATGACATCACTTAGCTAACCATAAATTGTCATCCACGTGTATGCAAAATTTCAGCTCAATCGGTTGGTGATAACTTTTAAAATTCAGATGCAATATTTGACCGTCATTGAGACATACTAACAAGGCAAGTTAAATGAAAGCTTGTAATAAAAAGCTTGCAAAAATCAGAGGAGAGAATTTCCGTAACAATACAGAACTATAATTTATACTATGCTTAATTAAAAATTGGTTTTTATATACACAAAAGAAATAAAACGTAATCATAATAATAATTTGACGTGATATTATTATAAATTGTTAATAAAATAATGAATAAATGATTGTATCAAATTTTTAATAATAATTTACCTCACGCAAAAGTCTCCAATTTATATGAAATTTTTCCAATTCCCATAATTTTGAGGAAGCTGAAAATTAATGTGAATGAATTATTTTTTGCGATCGAAAAAATAACAAAAAATTAATTTGAAATTAATGTTCAGTGCCCTGGATAAGGGGGGTTGACAAAATTTGATTAGAAAAATTAGTTTTATGGTAAAACAACTAATTACCAAATTTTTACTCTTGCTTCGATTTTTGAAATCTAGTATTTTAATTTTTACAGATTTCCAAAGGATGTTGACATAAAGTACAAATAGGTGAAAGCTTTTAAAAAACAGGATTGAATATCATCAAAATTTTCACGTATATGTTCCAATCACTGAAGAAAATTTTTTAATTTTCAGCAAAAATGTAGTCCGCAAATTAGCAAAAAATGCAGTTCCCACATTAAATCTACCGGAAATAATAAGTAATTATACTTTATATGTATATGCACGCTGTGTTCAAGTTTGACCGATTTGAATGAATTTTTTTGGCAAGTAGGACTCTCCCACTACTTAGTGAATATTTTAGTGCTGTCCACATAATTTTATAAAAATTATCTTCACTAATCCTTTTTTTATGAACATGAACAGTCCCAATCTTCAGGTTCTTTTACGTCTCCCATCAGCCAACCTACAACATCATATTCTGACCTAAGTAGTACATCTTCGTTGTCAACTTTGAATATCACGGATAATGAAAAGGTTATATAAACATTTTAGTGATGATACCTCGTGAAAGAAGAAACTAAAATATGAAGTTAGGCGGCTTTCCTTCATTTCCAAAAAACAAAAAAAAANACAGCTTGTTTTTAAAATATTTTTTTACTGTTCATTTATTTATAACTTTTTAGCAAAAATAAAATTTGTCCGCCATATCGAATTTAGTGTGACGTTATTTTATTTTCGTATTCTTCTCAGTAAACCCTTATTTCATTTGATACCCATATCATGGGGGTGTATAAAAAATAACTGGTTCGCCATCTTTGGGAGTCCGCCATATTGGATTTAGAATTACATCACTTAGCTAACCATAAATTGTCATCCACGTGTATGCAAAATTTCAGCTCAATCGGTTGGTGATACCTTTTAAAATTCAGATGCAAGATTTGACCGTCATTGAGACATACTTACAAGGCAAGTTAAATGAAAGTTTGTAAATAAAAAGCTTGTAAAAATCAGAGGAGAAAATTTCCGTAACAATACAGAACTATAATTTATACTATGCTTCATTAAAAATTGGTTTTTATATACACAAATGAAATACAACGTAATCATAATAATAATAATTTGACGTGATATTATTATAAATTGTTAATAAAATAATGAATAAATGATTGTATCAAATTTTTAATAATTATTTACCTCACGCAAAAGTCTCCAATTTATATGAAATTTTTCCAATTCCCGTAATTTTGAAGAAGCTGAAAATTAATGTGAATGAATTATTTTTTTACGATCGAAAAAATAACAAAAAAATAATTTGAAATTAATGTTCAGTACCCTGGAAAAGGGGGGTTGGCAAAATTTGATTAGAAAAATTAATTTTATGGTAAAACAACTAATTACCAAATTTTTACACTTGCTTCGATTTTTGGAATCTAGTATTTTAATTTTTACAGATTTCCAAAGGATGTTGACATAAAGTACAAATAGGTGAAAGCTTTTAAAAAACAGGATTGAATATCATCAAAATTTTCACGTATATGTTTCAATCACTGAAGAAAATTTTTTAATTTTCAACAAAAATGTAGTCCGTAAATTAGCAAAAAATGCAGTTTCCACAGTAAATCTACCAGAAATAATAAGTATATTAGTTATACTTTATATGTACTTATATGCACGCTGTGTTCAAGTTTGACCTAGAACAGTCCTGTAGCATTTGCCTGGACTATGCGAGTTGAATGAATTTTTTTGGCATGTAGGACTCTCCCACTACTTAGTGAACATTTTAATGCTGACCACATAATTTTATAAAAATTATCTTCACTAATCCTTTTTTATGAACATGAACAGTCCCAATCTTCAGGTTCTTTTACGTCTCCCATCAGCCAACCTACAACATCATATTCTGACCTAAGTAGTACATCTTCGTTGTCAACTTTGAATATCACGGATAATGAAAAGGTTATATAAACATTTTAGTGATGATACCTCGAGAAAGAAGAAACTAAAATATGAAGTTAGGCGGCTTTCCTTCATTTCCAAAAAACAAAAAAAAAGATAGCCCGCAGAAAATAAACGTCGTTTAAAAAAGAAAAATCACAGTTTAACAAACAGAAAAAAAAATATTTTTTTTTATAACTATAAAAACACCAACCTACACCTAAGCTACAAAAAAATAAAAAATAAAATCATGTATTAAAAAACTTTTTTAATGTGAACATATTTGAAAATTTGCATGAACACCAATTTGATAATTTCCCAACAATTATAATGATTTAACAGAACTTGTAAGGGCTGTATGTGAAAAGTATATTCATGTGAGAATAAATCATGAAGTTAAAATGTCTATTTCAGTAAAATCTACGAAAATACAAATATTAAATAAACTAACATTAGTTAAAGGCAATAAATATATTTAAATTATTTTGTAGGTTCATTTAATATTAGCAAAACATTAAAATATATAATTTTCTGAATTCCAAACTTGAAAAATGAATATTTGTCATAAGTGTAAAAATATTGCTTAATCCGGACCTGATCACAGGATGCGCGGTCAGATTACCTCGCACACTCCACTTCCCCGCAATTTGCCATCACTGGTATAATACCCGTGCATTGAAATTAGATACAGCCAGTCTAGGTGGTCTATGGTTACAACTTACCCAACAAAGACCACACCTTCCCATCCAACTACAAGCCCATTAGCCTGCTCCCGGTTATGAGCAAAGTGGTAGAAAAAATCATCCTAACCCGCCTAAAAACCCACTCCCAGTAACTGCGAGTAATTCCAGACGAGCAGTTCGCCTTCCGACCCAATCACTCCACCGAACTCCAAATCCTTCGCCTTACCGAGCACATCACGGCGGCCTTCAACANCATCATATTCTGACCTAAGTAGTACATCTTCGTTGTCAACTTTGAATATCACGGATAATGAAAAGGTTATATAAACATTTTAGTGATGATACCTCGAGAAAGAAGAAACTAAAATATGAAGTTAGGCGGCTTCCCTTCATTTCCAAAAAACAAAAAAAAAAGATAGCCCGCAGAAAATAAACGTCGTTTAAAAAAGAAAAATCACAGTTTAAGAAACAGAAAAAAAAAATAATTTTTTTTATAACTATAAAAACACCAACGTACACTTAAGCTACAAAAAAATAAAAAATAAAATCATGTATTAAAAAACTTTTTTAATGTGAACATATTTGAAAATTTGCATGAACACCAATTTGATAATTTCCCAACAATTATAATCATTTAACAGAACTTGTAAGGGCTGTATGTGAAAAGTATATTCATGTGAGAATAAATCATGAAGTTAAAATGTCTATTTCAGTAAAATCTACGAAAATACAAATATTAAATAAACTAACATTAGTTAAAGGCAATAAATATATTTAAATTATTTTGTAGGTTTATTTAATATTAGCAAGACATTAAAATATATAATTTTCTGAATTCCAAACTTGAAAAATGAATATTTGTCATAGGTGTAAAAATATTGCTTAATCCGGACCTGATCACAAGATGCGCGGTCAGATTACCACGCACACTCCACTTCCACGCAATTTGACATCACTGGTATAATACCCGTGCATTGAAATTAGATACAGCCAGTCTAGGTGGTCTATGGTTACAACTTACCCAACAAAGACCCAACCTTCCCATCCAACTACTGGCCCATTAGCCTGCTCCCGGCTATGCGCAAAGTGGTAGAAAAAATCATACTAACCCGCCTAAAAACCCACTCCCAAGAACTGCGAGTCATTCCAGACGAGCAGTTCGCCTTCCGACCCAATCCCTCCACCGAACTCCAAATCCTTCGCCTTACCGAGCACATCACGGCGGCCTTCAACAGGGGGCAGTCCACTGGTGCTGTCTTCCTGGACGTCGCAAAGGCCTTCGATACGGTTTGGCATGAAGGCCTACTGATGAAAATGCTCACCAACCAATATCCCATATCCTTTACCAAACTCATAAAATCCTACCTACACCACCGAAAATTCCGCATCCAAATCCAAGATTCCCTTTCCACCACCCGTCCCATGGAGGCCGGTGTCCCCCAGGGCACCGTCCTGTCCCCACACCTATACACCATTTACAACTCCGACATCCCACATCCCCCCAACACCAACATATACTTATACGCCGACGACCTGACAATCACATCCCAATCCGTAGATCCTAGATATTCCGTCTACCTCCTCCAAAGCTCCTTAGACCAACTTGAAACCTGGTGCAACAGGTGGAAAGTCAAAATTAATCCCAACAAAAGTTCGGCTATCCTTTTTACCAAACGAAAAATCCCACAAAACCTTGACAGACTGACACTATCCCAGGAACCCATCTCCTGGAATCGACAAACACGATACCTGGGCGTGACGATGGACCAGCGTCTCACGTGGAAACCGCACATCGTGGAGACGGTGGCGCGAGCGAAGACCACCAGGGCTAGGCTCTATCCCTTACTCAAAGGTGGAAACACCCTCAGTTTAAGGAATAAGCGAACGCTTATCAAGGTGGTACTTCAACCGCAGCTAACCTACGCCTCCACGGCGTGGGGTCACGCGGCAAAAAGCCACTTAAAGTCATTACAGGCTGTGGAAAACATAGCCCTCCGCACGGCCACCGACGCGCCCTGGTACGTAAGAAACACTGACATATTACGAGACTTACAATACACAAACGCTACACAGACAATAAGACAAAACGCGGAGAAACGATTTGACGTAGCCGCTAGACATGACAATCCCCTCCTCAGGCAAGCCGTTGACTACGTACCCGACGTGACCGACAAACACAAAAGACCTAGACACCAACTTTTTGACCCTGGGTGACCACCCCAATGACCCCCCCCCTGCCCGCTAACCTTTTCTGTTTCAGAGACAGCCAGGATCAAGAAACGAAGACAACGACACACACACACACACATACACACCCCCCATACCCTCCTTACCCCTCCCCTCCCGCGCTAGCCTAAGGGCCACCTTAGCAAAGCGCATCCCAGGCTGCATAGCCGCACTACCCTACCCAACCATACCACACATAAACATGACACTACCCCCGGGGTTTACACAGACGAGCCGGCGAAGCAAGAAGAGCGCCAGAAGAAAGGGCCCTAGCCGGCGGGGCCCAGCCAGGACAAAAGGAGGTCCCACAAAGCGCCTACACCGGCCGCATTTGCGGTCGGGGTAGACGACGGATCAATCCCACCTACGAAGGCTGTCCAGGCCTACACGAGATGAGGCAGGATAAAGAGGGATAATCCCCCTCGATCCTAAATCATTGAGGCCAATTTCTAGCCATAGAATAATGGCGCGGTTACAACAAAGAAAAATTTAAAACAGTGTTTTGTTCTTGCAGGCTAGCAAAAACAATTTCAATGTTCTTTTTCAACTAAAAAGAAGACACAAAAACTTATCAAAATTATTCATTGCCAATTTTATTGAACAAAAACAATGGTTGCGGTTAAGTCGGTCAGGCATCAGATGTTGGAAAACGTTAGAAGACATTTTTATTTAGGACGATTAGGATGTGGCCAAGACGTTCAAGGAGCTAATTTATCATCTTCGTTGCAAGTTTTTTTTAGTTTGCTGTAGCGAATTTCGTCAAACTGATGAATTTATTTTTTTTACTGCTAATTTTTGCAGTAAATATTAAAACAATAGTATTTTTGAATACAGAATGAAAATACCTTTCAAATGAGGTATCACAAGCCCATACTTCCCTTTTAAAAATTTGGGGGTTGTAACTGCCATTCGAAAGGGGTTGAATTTAGGGATGAAATATTTACGTTGCAAGATGTCATTTCAGAATCCAAAATGGACGTGCCTCGGGATTTTCTATTAGACAAGACGAAAACCTCGCATTCGTGGGAGAAATTTTCCGACTCGATATTTTTTCATATTCAGATTCGTGAGATGTTCCTAACATGAATCAAGGTGATGCCGGCCGGAAATCTGGTGCCTATTTGTTTAAACAAATTTTTTTTAAACAAATTGTAAAAATAGTTTTTTTCACTACGGAATTTTTTTTTTAGGTTTTCTGGCACTATAAGCAAATAAGTTCCCATGCACTATGCCTCTAAAATTGAGTTTTAAAATTGTAAACAATTTAAGTTGCTAAAAATGCGAAAATGACGATTGTGTGACGAATGACATGTTAAGGAACATCTGACGAATCTGAATATGCAAAAAAATCGAGTCGGAAAATTTCTCCCACGAATGCGAGGTTTTCGCCTTGTCTATAAAAATATACACAATAATTGAGATACTGAATTTATTTCATTTGGCTGTTCCACACTGTATGTATTATACAAATGTCTGAGTCAATAAAGAACGCAGCTGTCATAATTATGGGTGACCAAATTTTAGAAATTTTATAATATTAAATGTATTACACTTACCAGATTCTATAATTTCTTATCCCTGATGTTAAATATATTGACATTATGACATGGGACTTTTAATTACATCTTATATGAAGCTGTGCCTTGAGATTTGCTTGGTTTTAGGAAGGGCTATGTTCCCCAATGTCTCGGACAATTATGAAGGCACTGTATAAAAAAATTTAAGATACCTTGATGTAAAACGATTTTATTGGGTTGGTCTTTTAATCGAAAGTCAAATGCATAAAAGAATCCGACTCTACAGAAGCTCTACTGGATCTTTTTATTATATGATCTAATTTTTGTGTTCAATGAGTGTAATACTCCGATGCATTTTGCTGATAATCACAATTTCGATTTTTTTTTTCCACCATAACGCAATACGAAATCAAGTTTACTGATGGTATTGCCACCAAAAAATCCACGAGGAAACTGTTGACGAAATAAAACCTCCTCAAACAATTAGATTCTATGATGAAAATTAATGGCGACAGTGTTAATAAAAATTTGTCAACAGATACAGAAAAAATCTAGTGGCCTGCAGTTTTTATTACAGAGAATCTTTTTCGAAATAAATCATACGCCACTGACTAAAATAAAAAAGATGTCATATTTGGAATCACCAGACATTTTACAAGCAAAATATGTATACTAGTTTCATGTCCATAAAATGCATTTGCAAGAAAAACTGATTTTCATTCAGTATTATTATCACTTTGTACAGTTGTGTGAAAATTCTCTTCCAATATTTTATGGACGGATATACATAAAAAATATACAGGGTGAGTCAGTTTTTTGTAGACAAACTTTAACAGGAGATAGAACACATGTTTTTAAAATGAAAAATTCCTATAAACATATGTCGTAGAAGGCTTCGTTTCCGAGATACGAAGTGTTGAATATAATTTTTTTTCTCGAATATTCATTATAACTTATAAACGAATGCTTAGATTTTTTTCATGTTTGGGAGATAATGCCTATTAATTAAGGGGCATAAAACAAGCGATAAAAATGTTCAAAAACTTGCACAGTGGCGGAGTGGAGTGGGTGCTCAACCCCTTTCGTAAATAGAACACTTCTACGCCAATGGCTATTTAAAAAAAATATGTTATTTAACTTTTCTTTTTCAAAACATGTGTTCTATCTCCTGTTAAAGTTTGTCTACAAAAAACTGTCTCCTCTGTATACAGGGTGGTCCAGATTTTAATAGACAAACTTCGGGAAAGTACTAAACAACAAAAATTAACATCACTTTGCTCTATGAACATAGGCGCAAAAAGCCACTGTTTATGAGATACAGGGCGTTGAACAGCTTCATCAAATTTATCCAAATTTGGTACATATTTTTTTTCGAATATTTCTCCTAGTTCTGTAGCAGACAGTCCAAATTAAAAACCAGTGGCGGAGAAACATGGACGTTGTTTCCTTATTTAGAGTAAAACTTCTACGCCACTGAATAATTGGTAATATTCACCCAAATTCGTTTTATTTTCCTTATTTCAACGCTTTATTTACTTGGATAATATGTCTCATAACTCGTTCGTAAACAATTCACTTTTCGACAAAAATAAAAGAATGTTTTTTCATCCGGAATATTTCAGACCGTTATAAAATGTATTCATATTACCAATTAATTCAGTGGCGTAGAAGTTTTACTTTAAATAAGAAATCGGCATCCTCGTTTCTCCGCCACTGGTATTTGAATTTGGACTATGTGCATACAAAACTAGGGAAAATATTTGAAAAAAAAATGTGTACCAAATTTGGATACATTTGATAAAGCCGATTTCCAGATATTTAAATTTAAATTGTTTTATTTTTGTTAATTTCAACGCCCTTTATCTTATAAACGGTGGCTTTCTGCGCCTATGTTCATAGAGCAAAGTGATGTTAATTTTTATTGTTTAATAGTTTCCCGAAGTTTGTCTATTAAAATCTGGACCACCCTGTATACAGTCGAGGTAAAGTGCTAATTTACATACATTAAACCTGTGGGGAATATTTATCTAAACATATCACACTTTTTGGTTTTTATAAGTGATGTACAAATAACCAAATCCACTTGTATGTACCTGTCTCAAAGGATTTGATACATGCTGTTAGATGGCAGCTCTTGCCATTTTTGCTCACACCAATTTGTCTACTACATGACAGCAAATGGAACAAATCAAAGAGTACTACAGAAAATACGCTAATGATATCAACTGCATGTGCATTAGGATTAACACGGTTAAAGTTAAATTTTTACTTTATTTAAATTTAGGAATATTCTTTTATATAGTTTTTTTTATAAGATTTAAGCACATTGATGTATCAATTTTACGAATTGGTTCTTCTTAAATACTTGTAAAATAAATTAATTTGAAGTTGTTAGGGTCAAATTCGGTCGGTACAATTTCAACTATGACAATTTTTAGCGGGTTGCCTTTATGTGACGTCACACTAAAAGAGTCTATTATGCAGTACTAGGAACACTAAAGTTTTAAAATTAATAATAACTCACCTGCTGTATCGATTGTTTGTGACCGTATTCCTCCTGAAAGCAAAAAAAGAAATATTGATTACTTCAATGTAGACAGTACATTTTTATAAGTAGGCAAAAATATTGCATTTTTGCAATATTGCAATAATAATTTGACACTTCAGTGAGTAAATAAGACGCTGAGGTAGCGGGGGCATCAGGATTTACGTCGTAGTTCGTGGTTTCTTTCGATCATCAGTTTATCTCGCACATTAATATACAGGGATGGCCAGAAGTACGGAATAAAAATCTTTTGAATGAGTTATTTTTTTTAAACGCCGGAACACGTTAACTGATTTTGATTTTTTCCCATCTTTCGGTTATGTAATAATAAATATTTCTTCAACCCCCTAACCCCCAGCTACCCCTACTTTTTTTTTCAAATGGAAACATAAGGCATGAGGGGGCTCGTTGAAAAGCTTATAGAAAACTGAATCCAGGCATACCAAATAAACAAGTTTTATTTTTTCAATAGCAAGATTTTTAGGGTTGTATGGAACACCTACTTAACAAGTGAAATAAAATTTAGTTATCTTCAGTGNATAATATACCGGAAGAGGGTGTGGACGATGCCGATGGGGATAATGTGCCAAGAGCGGGTGAGTTATTCCAACGTGAAAGTAATACTATGTCAAGCTTTTAGTGAGTCACCAATATAAATGTTCTAATACGTGTAATTTTTGTAATTTGTAGAATTTGATATAGTTTATATTGTGCGACAGTTTGGCGCAAAAGCAATAATACATTTTTAGTGGTATTTTGAATTCAATATCACGATAATTTTTATCTGTTTTTGTAAATACTTTTTTCGGATATTTCTTTTTTTCTAATTTCAAAAATCAATTTCAAATTCCGTTGTAAATTTTTCATTGTCTTTCTTTGTGCTTTTGTTTTTTTCGTTTTATTTATCTCTTTTCACGAGATGTGGTTAGTCATACTTTTTTTGTGTGTACATTTCCATCTTTTTGTTTTCTCTTTTGCCGTGTTAAATAATCACAGTTTTTCAAGAAACTTTTTGGAATCATTGTTTTCATTATATAGTAATTATATCCACTCTAAATGTTCGCCTGTAATACAGGGTGTTTGGTGAGTATCTACTAACCTCTTAGGAACGTATAGAAGGTTTCAAAATGGTGCTAGAGCATCCTATAATATTTTTCCTAGTGATCCTATTGACGGAGGTATCAAGCTGCAAAAGGGTACCTAGAAATTTTAAACCACCTTCTAATTTAAAGGGAAAAAAAATTATAAAGGAAAGTAGTGTTATTTTAACCTTCCCTGTACGCTCCCGAGAAATTAGTAAATACTTATCGCACGCCCTGTAGACTAAAAAAAAATTGTTATCGATTCCAAAGTTTACGTGAGGGTGGATATTTCACGAACGGTCGTTACAACACCACCTCAATCACTTTCCTTTGCTTCGTATAGAATGGTTGAGGGAACAGGGCCCCGAGTGGTTGGCAGGCAACAACGCTGCGGCACAGGCCCAAAATAACGTGCAGCCGCAGGAGCGTGGCGATTACGCTAATGTCCAGGCGGACGTGGCGGGGAGATGGGCTGGCGAGGGCCACGATTGGCTGCAAGGTGATAACGCTGCCCCCCAGGCTGCCGAGGGCCCCCCTAACATTCCGCCGGAGCGTGGGGATTATGTGGAACATGAATTGCCAGGTGCAGGTGCGTTACGTTGCATTATTGGTTTTTATATTTGGTTACGGGTAAAGCGAGGTGTATATTTTCGGTGCTCGGGAATAGGGTTTCGTTTTATTATTAGAGTTTGGCCTGTAATCGTAATAGATATTGAATTCTTGAAAAATTTATATTTTCCACGAGGTGTTTGAGATTAATTGGCTAAACTTAGAATTTGACTTTGGGCGGTGAAAATGAGAAATATTCTGCAAAGAACATCGCTGATAAGGCTCTTTTTTCAAAAAATAGAAGAAATCTACATAAAAATTTGTTTATTTATGGAGCTTTGCTGCTTTTTACCTTTAACTGTTGATTATATCTGGATTTAATGAATTTTTAATTTAAAATACATAAATAATTAGCTTAAAAGGTTGCAAGTTTGTCTATTAAAAAAACTTTTTTATATAAAATTTGGTATTGTTTCGACTATACATTTAATCTTTCACATCATTATTCCGTAATAAAGAATAATCTTAAATTGGTAAAGATAATAAAATTGCATGTTTATTAGACTGGGCCAAAAAAATCGACTATTTTTTTTTGAAATACTGTTTACTATTTTTACTATACTATTACTAGAAGGGTACAAAATAGGGTCAAAATGCGTACGATAATATTTGGGTCCGCTTACTTCGCTCTAGAGTGATATGACATTGTTTTCTTATTTCGTTTCCTAGTAATAAACAAGCTATATAGCCTAAGTGAAAAATAAAAGTACATATTTTGCAGCCAAGTGACAAAAAAGACTCACTTTGTCAACTGAAAATTTAACGAAAATGTCCATTTTTGATGACAATTTTCGAAAAAAGTTATTTATATCAATGTTTAGTTATTTTTGTGTTTTCATTTACAAGGTTTTGTATGACATTATAGTCATTTATTTTAAATAACTCTATAATATGTGTACGTGTTTTGTTTTAGTTTAAATTTATAGTAAAATTGAAACTAGTGAAGTTCTTTGTTTAGTGTACCAATAAAGTTATTTATTTCAATGCTTAGTGACGATATACTTAGTGTAATTTTGTGTAGTTTCTGTATGACATTATGGAAAATCATGTGAACGAATCAAGAGAGTTGATATGGGTAGAGCCTACTTTTTCTTGAAGAATAGGATGTTGCTGAAGGAAGTCGATTATCAGATGGATTATCCTGAGCGACAAGTGCCAAATAAGAAAATGTATGCAAGTATGGAATCTTTGAACACCAATACGACGCGAACAAACTGAGAGGGCACGAAACTTAGAATCAGAAATTTAAAACACTGTCGAAGAGAATTCTGGTACTAATACTCGAAGATTACCCACAACATTTAAAATATGTCATATGAGTACACAACAAACACAAGCTTCACTCACTATATCTATATCATGTTCAGCAAATCCAGGCAGTGAAAGATTTACCAACACGTATAGAATTCTGCGAGTGGTAGGTATAGAGAAAATGCAACGAAGGAGACAATTTTTGGCTCAAGTGTGTTGAGGCGTGTTAGGACACAAATGGAAGAAATTTTGAATATACCTACGCAGTAAAAATCAGATGAGCAAACAGAACATTTACTTATTTTTATATTTTATTTAACAGTATTTTTCATAATATTAAAATTTTAACTGACAACTGGAAATTAATTGCGCAAATTGTCAATGTCAGACGTTAAGTACTTATGGATATGCTTAGATTAAACTTGTAATCAATATTTTTTTTGTACTACTGTAAAAAAAGTTAAACTTTTGGCACAGTAGGTAGTGCAATAAGTAGTAAATTTTGCACGATCGTAGAAAAAAACACTTGTAGCATGTCCACATATTCATCATTAGTAAAATTTGGCATAATTCTTGTTAATTTACACCCAAAAAGTATTTAGCTGATAACAGTGACAACTTACAGAAGAGTTAATTGTGACAACTGGCATGACAGCAGCACACTTAGTTTTTCTTTGATTGATTGCAATCATATACGGTGTGAGGTGAATGGTAATACATTTTATTTTTTTATTAATAAACGAAAAGTTTTAAAGGAAAATTGCTAGAGAGGTAAAAGTTTCTAAAAGAACCAGTTTATCTAATGCGTATTTTTGGATATCGAGTTTTTACGAAATATAAAAGTTATGGCAAAAAATGGCTTGAGGGGTGGTTATTTCAACCCCTTTCGAGGGGTTAAAATTTTCGAAAAATAGTTGAAAACTCGCATCTGTATTAGTAAACAACCTGTAAAAAATTTGTTATTTGTACCTCGTTCGGTTTTCAAATTACAGCCAATTATCATAATTTTTTGGAAACTTTGATGGCCCATATCTTTTCAGGGGTGAACATTTTACTAAGGCGATTTTTTGTAGATCGTGTTCTTTTGAAATATAGATTCACTGGTATCATTTATGCTATTCCAATCAAAAACACCCTGTATAATTATTACTCTTTGTGTTTGCTGTTAGATAACTTGTTAGGTACTTTTTCACGGTATTATCTTTTTTAAAAGAGTTAAATTTTCGTTTATGTGGGATGGGAGGGCCTTAAGCGGGTGGTGTGAAATTTTACTTTCTCCTAAAACCTTGACAACAACGCATACCGCAGTGTTTATGCGCTGCAACTAACCCGAGAGATTGTTCAATGTCACACTGTCCAGCGACGGGGTATGAGTTATGAAAAAAAAGGTTAAAAATGTGACTTCTATTCAAAGTTATAGGACCTTGTATAAAAAATTTATTTTCGTTTATTCTTTATTTTTCTTAGAGATGATAAATTTTATGTTTGGTTCGTGGACAGTAAAACGAAATGGTAACCTAAATGATTGATATTTTAAAGGGGTGATAAGTCCATTTAGAGCAACTCGCGCCATTATTCCATAGCTATAAATTGACCACAATGATTTAGGATCGAGGGGGATTATCCCTCTTTATCCTGCCTCATCTCGTGTAGGCCTGGACAGCCGTTCGTAGGTGGGCCCCATCCGTCGTCTACCCCAACCGCAAATGCGGCCGGTGTAGGCGCTTTGTGGGACCTCCTTTTGTCCTGGCTGGGCCCCGCCGGCTAGGGCCCTTTCTTCTGGATAGAGCAACTAGGACATCTTCGAGGACACCCTGTTACTTACTTCAATTCAATAACAAGAATATAAGTGTTCGTCCCCCACACATCAATATGAGAACGTCCCATTTTTGCTCATACAAATGCATTATTTCCGAATACGAATATGCAAGTCATAGGAATCGACCAAAGAATGATAACGCCGACTAAGTGGTTATATGGTCATCGTTAACATCAACAACGTCTTCAAAACCTTTCCAATTTGAATGGAAAAATACAACAAATTACATGTTCTATGAAAACAATTTGCTC